TGTTAAAGAAATATAATTTTATTGCTCATTAGAAATTAGGGTGTCCTGCTATGGAATCACACGAGGACCTCAAGCTACTCACTGTAGCTGGTTGAATTTTGATCTCTTCATCTGAATAGATGCTGGGAAAGATGGAAAGATCTCCTGGGTTGAGTTCTGTGACTGTCATTTTATGCTTCCAGAGCCCAACACCAATCACTTTCTCCTGGACACCCTCTCTTGACTCCCCCCATGATTCTCCCCATTACTCCCCCTGTGACTCCCCCATCACTTCCCCTATCACTCTCGATTTTCCTTCTGCCCCTGCTGCTGCTCTCTTGATCTTAAATGCTGGAACTCCCCAGGCTTTTCTGTGGCCCTGTGATCCTAGAACTATTCATCTCTGACTATGGCAGCCACTTGTCTGCTCCTGATCCCAAGTCCATGTGTCCCTACCCAGCTTCTCCTCCTGCCTCAGGGGAATGTACCTGATGGCTATGGGATATTTGTACACAGGTGACCATGGGCAAGTCCAACATACCACATCCAAATGGACTCTTCCTTTCCCCTCCTACCCCAAATGCTACTTTGCTAATTTAGGTAAAAGGTATCAGCGCTCATCCAATTTCAAAGTCACTCTAAGGGACTGTCCATCTATTATTCCAATATATGGAATCTATATATTAAGATGAGAATCTGGAATAGAAGTTACGGAACAAATCTAAGACATGGAGCTTGAACTTAGACCCAAGTCTCTAATGCCCAGGCCAGGTCTCTCCACTATGGCCCTACACCCACCACATAGCCAGCCAGCCACTCCCTGTCCTGGGCACTCCCTGTCCTCTTTCTCTCCTTCTACCTCTCAAGTCCATCCCACTGCCAGGACCTGAAGGCTCCTGCTCCTCTGACAGGTGCCTGGCCCAGTTCATTCACACTCACCATTGCCCAGACACTGCTCCCTCCTGACCTGTCTTCCTCTCCTTAAGCCACACTTTAACTCAGCAAAAGTGCTTTTCCCAAAACACAGAACATGCCACTCCCCTACTGGAAGTGCTATCACTGGTCATCCACAGCTCTTGGGACAAAAGCAAGCCTCTTCCCTTGGCCCACCTCCCCCCTCTTCTCTAGCCTTATAATTGGTCCTCGTTATTCACAGAATTTGTGTGTGCAAATTCCCACTACACTTGGTTTGCAACCAAGTCAGAATTCCCATCATTTTCACCATCACTCACAGACATGCCTGAGGCAGGGGGAAGAATTTTGAGTCACGGGATGTAGGTGTCCCCAGCAGAGGGTGAGCAAGACCTTCTCATTCTCAGCCTCTACACAAGTGTCTTTCCGTGGTCTATTCAGCCATGCTTTTCTCATCTTTCAGGTTTTTGTTGCTGATCTTGCTGTTTTAAATGGCCCCTCAGAGTTGTGCTGAAGCTCTGTCTGGCGTCCCTAAGAGCAAGGGGCTCTGGTGTCTGTGGCAGACGTGTGTTAGATAAGCTTCCTCCAGGTGGAAGGTTCAGGGCTGTTGGCAAGTCGATGTTGATGAAGCTATAAAGCAGTACATCCCAAAGAAAGAAGGGGAAATTGGCCCCTTATGCATGAGGCCTCTCAAGAACATGCTGAAGTAGCATCTATAGTGCACAAAAAAAGTACAGAAAAGTGGCTACATTTGTGGATTCATGAGCTGGCATCTGATTTTTTACAAATGTTGTAGGCAGCATTACTGTGAAGCAGAAAGCTGGCTCACCTGTGTCAAAGATGATTTGACATGACAAACATTAAACCTGCAGGCAAGGCAGATTCTGTAGATCAGGAGGCTGTGGAAGAATATTTAAAAATGCTTGCTAGGTGCTCAACAGGAGGGGTTACATAGAAGAGGTTTTCAACTTTGAGACTAGTAGGTTTGGTAAATGTACCTAAATAACACAATGGTGCTTTGGTTGGCTTAAGTTTTGTGACCAGCAGTTCGGAGGATCTTAACTAGGAGGAACAGCTCCATATTCACTACTTTGGGTTTGAGTCAAGGTCACGGCACCTAACTACTGTGAATAACGAGAACCCACAGTGCTTTCCACTCTGCCCGCTGTGCGGACTCTGGTCCCACGGAGCTCTCTGTAGTTCCCGAAGACACTTTTCCTGGGCTGCCTCCCTTCTTCATCAGCCCACCCAGGTTCATCCCGAAACCTCAGCCAGTCATGCCCTGGGCATCTTATCTCTCTGGACCTCGGGATACCGAGGCTGTCCTCCGCTGTGCTTAACGCAGAGTGCAAACTCTGCCTCAGCATCGACCATAGCACTGCAGTCATCACACATCTGTCCACCTCCCTCATCAGCCTCTGAGCTGCTGGAGGCAGGGCCTTCCCTCCCTCCCTCCCTCCCCCCTTCCTTTTCTCCTTTCCAATAGATACATAAAAGCCTGAAATTAACATGAAAAACTAAAAACTTCTTTCCATCTATCTGTCTATCACCCATTTACATAAACACGGGTATATATTTGCATATATATTGTATATATATGTATATACATATAAGGCATACATATTTGAAGTGTGTGGAAAAATAAGGCAAAAACCAACACTACAAGAAACTTATGTTTCACTTTCATTTTATCTTATTAATTTTTGTGGTGCTGGTGATTGAACCCAGAGCCTTGCACATGCTAGGCAAGCACTCTACCACTGAGCTACCGTCCCAGCCCCACTTTTTGAGTATAGCCCTGGACAGACTCTAACTTGTTATGTAGCCCAGACTGGCCTAAAACCTGTGATCCTCCTGCCTCAGCCTCCCAGTGCAGGGATTACAGGTGTGCCCCACTACTCCCAGTTTATTTTATTCTTAAATTAACATACCATGCCATGCCTATTTGACAGATTGTATGTTGTTGCTATGTTCCAGCACTTAGCACAGAGCCTAGACCATAGAAGGGATCAGTAAATACTTGTTGAAAAAAGCAAAACAGGTCGGATGCCGGTGGCTCATACCTGTAATCCTAGTTACTCAGAAGGCACAGATCAGGAGGATCACGGTTCAAAGCCAGCCCAGGCAAATATTTCCAACAGACCCTATCTCAAAAAAAAAACATTCACAAAAAAGGGCTGGTGGAGTGGCTCAAGGTGTAGGCCCTGAGTTCAAGCCCCAGTACCACAAATAAATAAATAAGTAGCAAAATGGTTAGCACTATTTATCCTATTTTGCCTAATTGAAGTTCCTTGGGTCATAAACTTTTACTAAATAGATAAAATAGTTTCAAATTAGCATATTAAATTAATTTTGTTCCTTAAAGTATTTTTCTTTCTTTTTTTTTTTTTAATGGGACTGGCATTTGAACTCAGGGGTTTGCACTTGCAAAGGAGGTGCTCTCTAAAGCTTGAGCCATATCTCCAGTGCTCTGGTTATTTTGGAGATGGGAGTCTTTCAAACAATTTGCCCAGGCTGGCCCTGAACTGCAATCTTCCCTATCTCAGCCTCCCAAGTAGCTGGGTGACAGGCATGAGTCACCAGTGCCTGGATTCGAGTTTTTTAAAATTTGAGTTATCTATATTAAAATTTTGCTATATAATATAAAGTTTAGCTTAGTCCAAATGGAATAATTAGAAATATGGAAGAAGTGGTCTGAATTAATCAGCTTTTACTGAGCTCATATAATTACTGAATACTGGAGCCAGAGAGATCTTAATTTATGCACGTATTAATTGAGCTCCTTTAGGCTTTTAAATAAACTAATGCTTGCAGGGGTCAACGCACAAATCCATAACCCAGTTATAGTATCTACATACTTGCAAAAATATCCTATCTTGAGATGTATGGTTTGTGAAAGGAAAGCAAGTGTTCTCAGACCCAGAAGCACCATAGTGACCAGGCTGTGCTATTTGGAACCCTGCCAGGGAGTCCTTTACCACCATCTCATTACACTGAGCAGCAGCAGTGCTGGGAGATGGAGCCATTACAGGCCCTGGTATGAATGGAGGACTCCCTCCTGCTGAGCCTGAACTTGACCTCACAGCCCAAATTATCCTCAGACAGCAGAGAGGAAACTGACACCAGCAGCAGCAATGGAAACAATGACCCCTGCAGAGGCCTCAATGTCTTGCACCCCTCTCCTTCCCCAGTTCATAGGCTGAGCCCAATCACCGTGTGGGTAGCAGAGTCTCTTTTCAACCTACTGGTACGTGGGCACCATTGTAATTTAATATCTGGTGTGGCCTGTGTTTTAGGACTAACGTACCAAATTGTTGAAAGTCATGCCCAGTTTTGGTAATGCACGTGTCTGTGAATATAAGGTACAATTTGTCACCAGGCTCAATTTATTATGCTCAAATGCTGAAGGCTTGGTCACCAGCCTGGGGCAGTATTAATAGGCGGCAGAACCTTTGTGCAGAACTGGAGCTGTGAATCTCCAGTTGAAGCATGGAGCAATGTAATACTTGGAGTTAATTTTAAAAACAGTGGGGAAATGACACGAGATTTACCACTGCAACAAATTTTGAAAGTGGTTCCTAAGGGATATTTAAAAGGGCTTTTGAAAGTGGCTCCGAAGGCGTCCTGTTGCATAAATTGTGTATTGTCTTCCCACACAAACTTCCTTACGTTTTGGAAAGGAGCAGTGTGTTAATAAAGCCAAAAGGTCCACTGCAGGATGACAAGGTACTGCATAACCAGACCGTGCGGAGTCAGAGGAGCAGCGTTGGCGTGCACCCCCCAACGTGGGCTGGGGTCCCGTAACTGTGGGCTGCATTTCCCGCCTGCGTTGCACTCTGCGCTGTGACGTTCCCTGCTTCTTACAACGGCCGCAGCCGCAGCTCCTCGGGGAGTCCCGCCCAGGTCCTGGGGGTCCTGGGGAGAAGTGACCACAGCCCCGAGGGATGGAAGGGATAAAGGAAAAGCGGCTTTGAAAAGGCAAGGGCCAGCTTCCTTCTGAGACTGCAGTTGCGGCTCTAGACACCCACCAAAGAGCTTCTGCGTGAGTTCTTCACCGCGTAAGGAACTCAGAAGCCCCGCAATGCTCACCTAACCTCCACCTATCGCAGGTATCCCATGCTTCGAGCGGCCGCGCACTGCGCATGCCCGGGTGGGGGCGGAGCGGAGAGCAGGGGCGGAGCAGACAGTAGGGGCGGGGCGCGCCGAGCTCGCGGCGGGACAGAGCGCCAGGCGTCGTGGTGAGGATGGCCACGCTGCGCAGACTGCGAGAGACGCCTCGGCACTTACTGGTCTGCGAGAAATCCAACTTCGGCCACGACAAGTCGCGCCACCGGCATCTTGTGGAGACGCACTATCATAACTACCGGGTGAGGCAGGCCGCGCTAGGTCGCCGGTGGAGAGGATGGTGGGAGCTGCGCTCGGCTTCGCGTGGCGGGACCCTCGCGGTGCATGCTGGGAGATGTAGTCTCAGTGCTCTTGTCTGTAGCGCAGGGCGGGGCCCAGGAACAGACGGGACGGGGCTTGTCCTTCGGTTGGCTACTTACTCCAATTCTGTACCCGCCCACGGGGCGCGAGTCCCGGTAATTGCGAGGCGGTGAGGTGCAGCTCTAGTGCTCTCTTAGGTGGTTGGGTCTCCTCCCCACCACCCCGTCCCTCCGCTGCTGGATTCCCTCTCCCACCTGCGCATCTTTCCAGAACTGAACCAGCCCCCGCATGCTGCCCGCTTTTATAAACTGATATTCCAGAAACTCCAGGGAAATTCAACGATAAGAACTTGAGCATTTTACCCTTCAAGTTGACCGGCCGGATTGATTTCTGAGATCCCTCAGGAACGGATGTGTTGGAGCTTCAGGAGAGGGTCTTTGAAGCTGCCAGCCCTTGGGCCGCATTTGAATCTGCTCGGTTTGACAGCTCTGGTTTGGTTGGCAAGCGCATCCCAGGAGGCATGTTAGGAATAGATGCCTTAAGTTGTCGGGTCTGACCTGTTGAATTTCTCTGTCTAGAATGGAAACCTCCAGAAGCACTTCTGCTTCTGGGCAGCCTCTTAGTGATTAAATGCTCCTTCATTCTTTATACTGCCAGGAGAAGTTCCTACCAGGGTACACAAATCTAGCCCTATTCAAGGGCTATTTCCTTAAAAAAAAAAAGAGAGGAACAGAACGTAAAATACATTGCTCATTTGAAAAAGGTAAAATGCAAGCAAGACCTTTCAGTTAAAATGTTTCTGCCTAGTGTCTTTCCAGTACCGTGTGTTGCATTGCAGAAATGAAAAACTTGAATTTTCAAATTTCTCTTTGCCTGAGTTTGGTTGGTTAACTTAAGAGACTTGTTGGGTGTGTTTGCATGTTCCAGTAAAACCTGTGGAGAAATAGTGAGTGATTTGCATAAAAGTTCACTAAAACCTTGTTTGGATTATGCATTCCAATAGGTTTCATTTTTCATTCCTGAATGTGGGGTGCTACCGAAAGAACTGAAAAGCCTGGTCATGGAAACTGGACCCTATTACTTTGTGAAGAATTTGCCTCTTCATGAATTAATAACACAGGAGTTCATCAACACCTTTGTAAAGAAAGGTAAGAAAAACCTTGTACTGTCATGTAATGAACAGTCAAAGTGAGGAACTACAGGGAGACCACAGCACTGTAAGAGGGTTCCTCTTGTTTTAAAAAGAGCCTGTGGGGATAGTGGTGTGGTCAAGTGAGTGCTTCGTTCCCATCTCCTTTCCTGCATCCCATCTTACTCTTTCCTGCATCCCATCTTACTCTTTCCTGCATCCTCGTTAGGTGGCAGTTTTTTATTACACTTGTCTCCAAGCCTAGGATGGAGGTGCTGTAATGTAATGTCTGTCATCATAAAACAAGGATCCACAGAGAGGAAAGTCTGCCATCTCTGTTCACATGTGCTGATCTTGGGGATGTCACTGCAAAGAGACTGTGCTCTCAGCTGTCCCCACAGTGGCTGTGTCAGATGCAGCCACAGCTGCTGGTTACTGGGCCAGGTGCTCCTTTCGGTTCAGTGTCTTCTTAGATTTTGTGTCTCACATCTGCTGGATTGACAGGTTTGTTCAGTCGTTTCTAGGAGCCATTGTTTGAAGTTGTATTTCAGAGTGTCATTAGGGGTTCCACCCTCACCTCCTGAGCCACTGTACACGGGCCACGGACTAGCCTCATTGTAGCTCCTACGTTTGTCCTCTCCAGTTGACCTGTGAAGAATTGTAGTTACATCAGTGCTACTCAGTCAAACGCTGCTGGGGCTGCAGATGGAACTGGACAGCCTGTCTTCGTTTTCATCAACGTTACTGTTTTCATCCACTGTGAAGTCCAAGACTATTTTGTTAATGGCATGGACACTTTTGGCAGGCACTGTTAAATACCTTACATCCTGCATCTGTGAACTAGGTCTTCGATCCCCGAGTAACAGATGAGGAAAGGCTGAGAAGCTTTTGAATATTAACCTAGAACTCTGCCTCTAAGTTGTGTTCATGTACCTGGTGTTTTACTTTGTGCCTTTCTGTCAGCATCCCCGAGGGTTCAGGTTCCGTTCTGTGTCCATTTTCTGCCTGATAATAGTAAACTTACAGAAAATGAGACCCTAGTGAGTGAACTAGCTGGAGCTTGGCCTCCTGTGTGATTCACACACCCACGCTGTGTGTTGGGGCTACTGAGTGAGGTGGGGCAGTGCCAGGGACTGACCGTGCCTCCCTGGAAGGTTTGTTGTCTTGTGAAAGTAATCCATTGACATTTTGAAGGTGTGTGGTCTTTACCTTGATATCCTTGGACTTTTCTCTTACAGGCTCGTGCTATGCACTCACATACAATACCAATATTGATGAGGATAACACTGTTGCCCTGCTACCAAATGGTAACAAAATTCTTTTTTCTTTTTAATTGTAAAAGAAATGCCTACTGTTTAAAAAAAAAAAAAGAAAGGTCAAATCATTGAGATGTATATAGAACAAAATGAAGGTCTCTGCTTCCTCCAAACTTACTTCCCTTCTTAGATGGAATAGTTTGGTATTAATTCTTCCAGAATTTTCTATGCATTTATAAACACATTTTTTAAAATGTATGTTATATAATACTACATTGTTTCTCAATGTTATTTTTGTCCAAGCTACATATCAGAGACATCTTTACATAACAGTGCATATAGTTCTAACTTACAAATTTTGTTTATTTATTTATTTATTTTTTTAGCTTTGTTTATTTATTTGGTTTTGAGACAGGGCCCTGCCACATAGTACTCATTGGCCTGGAATTCTCTGTGTAGCCCAAGCTGGCCTCTAGCTCTCAATCCTCCTGCCTCAGCCTTCCAAGTGCTGGTATTATAAATGTGTATTCCCATGCCTGACCCTAATTTAGTTTTTAATGTCTTAAAGATATTTGAAAAAATGGGTATACCATGATTTGTTTGAAAATTCCTTTCTCAATGGAAATTTAAATTATTTCTAGTTTCACTACTATAAATAATATACATGCATGAGTATATGTGTAGATAATATCCATGTATTATAAACAAGGTCCTCATGCAGTCACTACACTGATTTCTAACTGCTCAGTTATCTTGCTTTCTTAGTAAGAGAACATAAGTGATGTTTTTAGCATCTCTTTTATGGGAACTGTTGCTTGATTTATAGGGAAGTTAATTTTATCTCTGGATAAAGACACTTATGAAGAAGCTGGACTTCAAGGTCGTCCATCTCGGTATTCTGGCAAAAAAGCCATGAAGTTTAGTAAGTATTATGTGTGCTCCATCAGTGTCTAGCAAGCCCGATATCTTCCTGCCACAGCCGGAACCTAAATGTTTGAGCCACTCTGATCTCTGTTGGGAAAGTGCAGCTGTTTCTTGCCTTTGAAACTTTTGACTCCAGGAGCTGTGGGTTGGGCTTCAGGAGTCTGTGGACTGTACTTCTCTTCCATTGTCTGCTGCATTTTATAAAGCACATAGGATCAGGCTAGTCATTAGATATGTTTGGGGCCAAAAGTTCAAAGTAATGAACCCAGTGTTGAAGTCAACAACTAGTTCTTATAAAGAATTTCCCCAGGCCTTTATGATGACTAGTAGAAACTCACCCAGGGGTGGAGAGATGTGATTCTGCTGATGGTGTCTGCTGTGGGCATCAGTAGTTAAGGCTGCTGCATTCCTAAGTAGATTAGAGTTGACGCCTGAGCACCTCTGCCCTTGATCTTTGACCTCAGAAAGAGAAGAACTTAAAACAACTGTTGTTAGCAGCGCTCACTGCTAGGAATGCCCACTGAAGGATAGTTTTGACTTGATGAATCAAAAGGAGTGAAGAAGAAAGTAATTTGTGCTATTTGTAAACTTCCCCCAAATTCTGACTTCTTAAGCATAACACTTTATTCACAGTGCAAGCTTTGTGTATATGAATGGAATATCTCTTCCTTTTTCCATTTTTAAAGTTGTTTCCATTGATTTGATGGATTTATCCTCTAACCCGGATTCTAAGAAGTATGAAAGAGTATCTTGGTCCTTCAAAGAAAAGAAGCCATTGAAATTTGATTTTCTTTTGGCGTGGCATCGTACAGGTATGAAGGATAAATGATTGTAATGATGTGATGATTTTGAAATCTAATTACTAATTAAAGAGGAGTAATGGGGGATTGATATGTGTGCATAAGTGCATCAACATTCAGGAAGCTGCTTGAACCTTCTGACACACTGAGAACCACAGCTGGGGATAATCTAGGTCTGAAGCCATCTGCCTCAATCTTCTTGGGTACATGTAGATCCCAGGATCTTGAGAGTGACTTCAGAGAAGCTAACTTTTGTCTGCTTCTCCCCTTCCAGCTTACCTAAAACGTCCTTGGCTAGAATATTTTAAATTAACACCAATTATAACAGCATGTGATCTCTCTGTCATTATTGATCGTAGTAACTCAGGTATACCATTAAGTATCAGTTTAAATTTGTTGTGACTTAACACTAAATTTAGTTCAGAGTTTTATGTCATCAGGTGTGTTAACCTGCTTACAACTGCCACATGCATTGCTCCTCTTACAAGCGTATCTGTGGAAGATTACAGTGAACCGATCGTTAGGAGTTGTGGTGGTGTAGCACCCTCCTTTTCAGGATAGGGAAGCACGTGAGTCCATTGTGGAAATGCCCCCATGAGAGACTTTTGGTCATGGGGTGTTCCAGATTGCTTTCCTGGGTCCTGGCTTTTGTGCCATTTTTTCCCCCTACATGAGGGCAGAGAAACTTCCTGAAGTTGGTCCTGTGAAGTCTTCCATGAGGACCATCCATGCAGTGGGCTCTATGTAGCATTCTGTTCCTACAACTGCTAATTGCTATAAGAGATTTTTAGGGACTATGAAAAGTTTGAGATTTACTCTGCTTGCCAGCTAACACAGTGGCCTGCTACAGTCTTATAGATGCTGGCAGAAAAGGAGTAACTACTGGATCAGAGACAAAGGACTTCATTCCTCACAGCAGGATCAGTAGCTGTCGTGCATTAGTCAGGGCTCTCCAGAAAGCCAGGAAGGAGGGAGAGAAGGAAGGAAGGGGGTTGGGGGGAGACTGAAAAATAGATAGGCAGGGATTAGGGGGAATAGTTCATGCATTTGTGGAGCTGAAAAGTCCCATCATGGCCACCTAAAAGCTGGAGACCCAGGATGGTGTCACTTAAGCCAAGGCCAAAGGCCTGAGAAGCTGCAGAGCCTGTGGTGCAAGTCCTGGAGTCCCAAGGGGAGGGAACCTGGAATTTTGATATCCAAGGGCAGGAGAAGCTGCATGTCCCAGCTCCAGGAGAGCATGAATTCACCAGTTGGATGGTGAACTGCTATACTGAGGATGGATCTTCCCTACTTACTCTACCCACTCACAGGCCACTTGCCTCTGGAAATACCTCACAGACACACCCAGAAACTGCTTTCCCTTCTATCCAGTTAAGTCAACACCTAAAATTAACCATCACATATAGAATCAGCATTTGCACCAGTTCACCAAGTCTCGGTTCCCAAGAGTGACACAAATTTGGTCCAGTGGTGCTGGCACATGCAGTGGGTTGCATGACAGGGACAGAACCCAGATCTTAAGGAAATGTAACTTTTTATAATGGGCAGTAAGCCTCCTGACTTTTGACCAAGAGGGAGGGAAATGGTATTTCTACTGTACCAGACAGTAAGCAGTCCTGCCCTGTGCTCTGGAGCAGGGGCCCTGTTTCTATCTTCCAAGGTTGTTAGCTATGCAAACTTCCCTGAAAACTGGATTTTCAAAGGAAAGCTTAAAATGAGATTCTATCATCATTCAGTTCCTTTTCTGTTTCTTGTATATGTTCCTCTCTGTAGAGTTCACTAACATTTGTATATAGAGTATACTCTGGGTTTTATGTTTTAAGTTAAAATTTCCTTTCTTTTTTCTTTTATTGGCAGCACTGGGGTTTGAATTCAGGGCCTCATGCTTGCTAGGCAGGTGCTCTTACTGTTTGAGCCACTCTGCCAGCCCAAAATTTTCTGATTAGAGTAAATGAAACAAATATGGGGCTAATATTTGTAAAAGCATTGTGCATTTACAGGAAAAGTGTGGAGAGCTTTGACACATGGAGCTGAAACCAGCTTTAAATGGTTTTAATTTGATTAGTGCTTTGCACAGCTCTCATTTTACTTAATCTTACCTGATTCTCATAATTCCATGGGAATGGAGTTATTTCAGGGATTCACTGAAGTTGTACACAATGTTCACATGGTCTTACCTGGTATGTTTTCAGGTACAGAAGAATCAACGATGATGTCATACTTCTCCAAATACCAGATTCAGGAGCACTGGCCAAAAGTAGCCCTGAGTACAGTGAGAGATGTGCAGTGCCCAGTGCTGCAGAGCAGTGAGCTCGGGGGACAGCCAGAGACATCCTGCAGCGCCCCGGAGCTCTTCGACTGGCTGGGTGCTGTCTTCTGTAATGCCGACTTGTGGGTATCTGAACTCCCAGGATTGTGCGGGGCTCTGGCTTGCTGCTTGTTTTCAATACGTGTTAATACTTCAGATGTGATTATGTAGTGGTTCTAAATATGCTTTCTTTCCTTTTTGTGTGACAGAAATAACGAGCCTAATAATTTCATATCAACCTATTGCTGTCCTCAGCCGAGCACAGTGGTGGCCACAGCTTACTTGTGTACAATCACTGGCTTCATACTTCCGGAGAAGATTGGTGTCCTCCTGGAACAACTGAGGTGAGAACTCTTTTTGCCTTTTATGTCTCGCTTGTTGGTGCCATGCCAAGGACATTGCTAGTGTTGCACGAGGCAGGGTCCTTCACGTAGTTCCCTTTCTTTCTTGCTTGGGCCCAAAGTAAAGTAACATTATCATTTTAGGCAGCATAATTATCCGTGCTGATAGGAAAATGCTATTACTACGCACTTGTCCCTACGAGAAGAGCAGAGGCTGGGTTTGCTTCTTGAAAGGCAGCTGCTCCTTCCTGGTTCGGCTCCCTGGGCTGTTCTGATGCAGTCCAAGTTGTAGCATCACTTGAAAACAGCAGTATTCTGTGGGCAAATTAGGGTTTATTTTTTAGTATCAGAGTTCTGCAAAATGTTTCATTCTGAAATGGGGTGGGAAGAAATAGGGAGGAAAGGTTGATCATCTCTGAATCTGAGTCATTCCTAGATGTGTTCCAGTGCTGAAATTCTGCGAATCGCTGGGCACAGATGTCATTTGGTGAGGTTCTAGATAACTACAATGTGCCATTGTACCTAATTCGAGGACACTCAAGTCCCATATTTAAAGACCAACTGGAGCAGAATCCCATTTAGTAAGCATATGCTCTCAATCTTTTCCTTTAAAATATCTAAGTTTTCAATGTTTTCCTTTTTAAAATCTAACATCCCTTTTCACAATTATTAGTTTAGTATTATGATTTTCTTCAATAAGAAGTTTGGGTTTTAAAAAAATCTGGTGCATTATTCTGTAGTTTCATTAAACAAATAAGAACAAGAACATCACTCTTAATGGAGGGGGGGAACATTCTTTTTTTCTCCTTTTTGGTGGGATTATTGTTTTAACTCAGGGCTTTGCACTTGCAAAGCAGGTGCTCTTCTGCTTGAGCCACACCTCTAGTCTGTTTTTGCTGTAGCTATTTTTTGGAGATGGGGTCTCATGAACTAGTTTCCTGGGCTAACCTCATTCTGCAGTCCTCCTGATTTCAGTCTCCCATGTAGCTAGGATTACATATGTGAGCCACTGGTGCCAGGTGAGGGAAATTCTTACAAATTTTGTAGGGTTTTTTGGTTTTGATTCTTTTTTTTTTTTTTTTTTTTTTGCAGTGCTAGGGATCTAGCCCAGCATCTTATACACACTAGCACACACTAGACAAGTGCTCTACACTGATCACACACCCCAGCCTGGTTCTATGATTCTTAAATAATCTTCCAGAATAAGGGTTGGAAGTGTTGAACCTGCTGGAGTTTGTTTTGTGCATGGTATACTGGTTGACCTTTATGGAACTCACAGTATAGCATCAGGAATTTAATCTGCCATCTCCCAGTTTTTATAAATAAAGCTAAAGTCTAAGCTTCATTAGAATATCAGAAGTACCACTTATCTTGAGTCAATTTTTAAAATATGGACATTCCTAACTCCCTATTAAGAATTATCTTTCTTTTTCAGTCACTACTTTGATGAACCAAAGTTGGCTCCGTGGGCTACCTTGTCAGTTCAAGGCTTTGCAGACAGCCCTGTTTCCTGGAGGGAGAATGAACATGGTTTTCACAGAGGAGGAGAACATTTGTACAACTTCGTGATTTTTAATAACCAGGACTATTGGCTTCAGATGGCTGTTGGAGCACATGATGACTGTCCACCATGAGAATACAGAATTGAAAATCATGTTTGTTTATCAGTGCTTGTTTTCAGATTAACTGTAAAGGGCTGTGTGTGCACTCAGGCCTGTGTAGTAATGACATTCTCAGCTTGATATTCACTTGCCTTCTGCTCTGCCGTCTGTGTGGGCAGCTGGGCTGTCTGTCTGTGACTAACTCCTGGATGATTTCTGTCCATCAGTGCAAGCACAGAGTCATGCCTGCTGCACTGTAGCATAAACTGGAATGGCAAAGACCAGAGGTATTTGCCATTTGGTGAGGGGTGAGCTGTTGATCATTACAGCTTCTTCAGGTCCTTACCAGGGCCAGTCTGTGGTAAGGGCTGTTCATAAATTACCTCATCACATTCTCATGTGGACTCAGAAGGAAACTGAGGCACTGAGTGCTAAATAAGCTTCCACGTTCACGCTGCTAGTGGGTCTGAGATGACCCCAGCCATCCTGGGTCCTACATGTGTGCGATCTGACTTTATTGCCTCTGAGTCAGGACACACTGGATACTGTGAGTTGTTAAGGAACAAGTTGAGTTTCTGGCATGGCTGAAGGGAAGCAGCTGAAAACAATAGATTCTAGGACACATCTGGAAAATGCCTTTTAAATATGTCTGAGCTAAACATTGAGCAACAGTTCCCAAAGGCAAAGTAATTTTTAATGAAAGCAGAAACTCAGAGGAATTAGAGTATTGATGATGATTTTTTACCCTTAGTAGACTTGCTACGTGCCAACCAGAACTTTGCTTCTCAGAGCCTAGGGTAAGGAAAGGACAGCAGAATGGCTGACAAAGCTTAGGGCCCAAGGTAGGAGAACCAGGAGGGGACCTCAAGAGTCAACAGCCCAAAAGGATAGACCTAGTGTAAGGGCAGTCTGTGAACAAATCTGTCTGCTTCCCTCCCATGTTTATCCCATAGCCCTGGAATTGCAAGGAAGTTTGCCTGTGCTGAGGGAACCATAACCCATGAGTATACTGAAATAGGGCTGGAGACATGGCTCGAGTGGCTGAGCACCTGCCTAGCAAGTGCAAGTTCAAACCCCAGTACTGAAAAAAAAAAGGAAAGTGTACATAAATATATGTATACAAGTTCCTCTTGCCTTTGGGGGAACTCAGCGAGGGTTTCAAGCAATATAAGCTTGTAATCAAAATCACAGGCACATTAAATCAGCAAGAGACAGCAGAAACAATGACCAGAAGCAGGCCTACAAAGGCTCAAAATGTTATTGAATGCAATTTAAAGGATATTAATATTTTTTAAAAAGATGATTAAAGAGCATGTTTACAAAAATAACCAAGCAGATTGGGGGAACCACCAAATAGAAGTTGAGGAATGAAAAATACTACAATTGAAGTTGAAAGTAGAGTTGATTCATACAGCAGACTAGACACACTGAAGAGAGGAGAACAGACATTTCAGCTTTGCATGAGCTGAAAGACGTTACCAGCAGCCTGCACTACAAGGAAAGGTGAAGGAAATCCTTCAGGCAGACAGACAAGGCACGAGAATGAAGAGCAAGGAAGCAGTAATAATAATGTTCATAAACGCAGGATTTATTCTTACCCAAGTCTCTTTAAAAGATAGTTGTCCAAACAAAATATAGAGTGAAATGCTAAGCAAAAGTTTAGCAATTTGATATCTGCAATACAGGACGAGAGTAACATATAATAAATGGAATTTATCCAAGGAATACAAGATTGAGTTAACATTCATAATTAACCAATGTAATTCATCATATAAACTGAGAAATAACTACAGAGTCACCTCAGTAGAGAAAAGGCACTTGAAAAAATCCCACATTCATTTCAAGAACTCCAGCAAATGAATACAGGGAACTTCCTCCATCTGATGAAGGCTAAGGGTTCTGCAAGAACCCTACATATAACATAACTAATTGTGAAAGGCAGAATATTTTTCCCTAATGGCAAGAGCAAGCAGGGGATGCAGGTAGGTGACTCGTGCTTATAATCCCAGCAGGAAAATCTCAAGTTAAAGGCCAGCAAGATATCTGTTCTTACCACCTCATAGGAGGTTCTAGACTCTGCAGTCAGGTAAGAAACAGAAATAAAGGACACCCAACTGAAATGTCATCCCCTTGTTTTATTAACATTCTCACTCATGACACATCATACATTTTGAAAACTCCCAGCTACATGTGACTTGTTTTGGCTATATTACAGCCATGGTACAGGTGTTACTGAATTCTGCTGTGCACTAAATGTTATTCAGGTATACAAGGAAGTGGCCGAAGTGGTCACTGTAATTTCTGTGCAAAACTCAGCTGTGTCACATGACAGTTGATTAAAACTGTTCCCCAAATGGCAAAAACAAGCAAATAAAAATAAGGCCAGCAAAATCAGGATGTCTGCTCTCACTGTGCAATAAGGCAAGAAACAGAAATAAAGTGAAATTGAAAACATGCAGTAGCATAAAAAAAATACCAAGTACTTAGGAATAAATCTGACAAAAATCAAGAAGCCTTTACAGCAAAAACTACAAAATTTGCTCGATAAAGATGACTTACAGAGATCCAAAATGGAGACTAGGGTGCAGAACCAGATGGCATGAGCTCTTTGATTCCAAAACCTCACTGAGGCACTTGAGCCACACTTGGTGGAAATAAAGCAGCAAAGAGAATCAAAACTTCAACACCCTGAACCCCTAGGCCATGGAAAGCTTCTCCATATCACATTACACTGAGAAAACAGCAGGGCTGCCATGTTGCCAGACTCTGGCTCCAAACCTGCTTGGGAGACATTCAGCAGACCAACAGGTGAGCACCAAGCATCACGCAGTATTCCCCCCAGAAACCCCTAGGATAAATGAGCATAGCCCCCTGGGCAGACTGACCCATGCCCACACCCAAAAAAAAAAACCCCAAAAATGACAATAAACAAGAACTGAAAACTAACAGCGGAGAGACAGAGTTGCTGAAAGCACACTGGAGAAGGGGGAGGAGCAAGGAGCTGATCTCCCTGCAAACTTTCAGTAAACAAAGGCTGGAAAGGCAGAAGGGCTGACAGCAGGTGGGTGATAAGCCACTGCCTGAAATAGGGCAGGTAGCAGTCCACAAAGCTCATCTCCTGAGCCAGTGAGCAACATGCAAAGTCAAATGACATTGCAAAATTGGAAAATAATCAACAAACCATCACAACACTCTGACAGCAGGGGGCTGGCTGATGGGTCACTGACCTTGCCCCAGAGAAAGGGGGTGAGGCAAAGAAACAAGCCCCCAGTAATCAAGCACAGTGAAAACCTAACTCCAAATCTGGACAGCTGGAGGCTACAGAGCTGATTCTGGAACCTGAGGACAACATATAAACTTAAACTGCCACACCCCACTGAGGGAGGAGCTGACCAAGCAGCTGCCTCTGAAAGACAGAAGAAAAAAAACCAACACTACCCAACCACCTGGCGAGACTATGACAGAGCTTCTGCTTAAATACCAACACTAGGATTGGATGCTGGAGGAATAACACCAGAACTCAAAATAAGACTGAAATTCTATTGTTCCTTAACCTGGAATTTTTGTTTGTCTGTTTGTTCTGTTTCTTGTTTATTTGTGTTTGTTTATTTGTGTTTGTTCATCTCTCCACGTTGATTTCTTTGGGATTTTTGTTATTGCTGTTAGTTTTACTATTGTGAATTAGCAAATACTAAATTACACCTAGACCAAGGACAGAAATAACACACACACACTTACATGCAAACCCAATACGGCCACAAAACAAAATTAAACCAAGGGAAAGAAAACAGGTGACTGAAACCACCAACTAGCCTATTAAGAACATAGTTGCACAGTACCAAGTGGAGTGATGGCAAGAAAAAAGGGATAGAGACCATTTTCCCCAAAAAATAATTTAATACAGGATTCAGAGGGAAATGAAGAAAATGGATACCCAGTTCCGGATTCCAACAAAACAAAGATAAATAATGCCAAGGAACCCAATGATGCCCACAAGAACAGCCTCAAAGGAGAAATCCTGTAAGTAATCACTGAGAATTTCATGGAGATGTTACTAGACATGGTTAACCAAAACTTACAAGAGGCACTCAAGAAATTTCAAGACACCAAAAATAAAGAATATGAGAAGACACAAAAACAAATAAATGAATTCATAGGAGCCCTAAGGAAACACCAAAGTGAAACAGAGAACACTATAAATAGAGAGACAGATGAATTAAAGATGAAAATAATATTAAAGAGGAAGTGGCCCATGATATGAAAAATCTCAGAAAAAAGAATGAAACAGAAATACAAAACACAGTGGAAGGCCACTCCAGCAGACTAGAACAAGCAGAAGACAGAATCTCAGTACTTGAAGATAAAATGGAAATTAAAGGAGAAACTGAAGAGCTATTAGTCAAACAGCTCAGGACCTGTGAAAGGAAAATGCAAGAACTCACTGACTCCATCAAAAGACCAAACCTGAGAATCATGGGCACTGAAGAAGGGATTCATATATATTCAACAAAATAATAACAGAAAATTTCCCAAACCTAGAGAAGCTATGACCATTCAGGTACAGGAAGCCTCCAGGACACCAAACAGACTTGACCAAAATAGAACTACCCCATGACATATTATCATTAAAACAACAAGCACAGAGAATAGAGAAAGAATATTGAAAGCTATAAGAGAGAAAAAACAAAAAACATACAAGATAAACCCATCAAAATCACAGCAGATTCTCAAAGGCAACCTTAAAAGCAAGAAGGGCATGGAGTGAGGTATTCCAGGCACTGCATGAAAACAGCTTCAACCCTAGGATACTCTACCCAGCAAAACTATCATTCAAAATAGATGGAGCAATAAAAGTCTTTCACAATAAGCAGAAACTAAAGCAATATATGAACCCAACACAAAAAATTCTTCAAGGAATTCTGCACACAAAAAATGAAAGCAAACAAAACCATGAGAGGACAGGCAACACCAAACCACAGGAGAAGAAAAGACAAGAAATCAGAGAGTAACATTAATTCAGTTGCACACAATCAAACCCTTAAACAACTAAATGACAGGAATCA